AAATCTAGAGCTATCACTAGGAAAACTGTCAGAAGTATCGAGTTTGCCTTTAGCATCCCCAAGATGTCTGTTCAGTGCCCCTTCTTGTACCCTCTTTAGAATTTCTTTTGTTAGATACCCAACACTTTTGAGAGGGTTTACTTCCAGTCTCTTACTGTGCACTAAATTCCTTGAGTGACTGATTAGGAGTTAGGAGTGTTGCAGTTTGTACAATCTCTATAAGGAGGGGACTGAAAGATTTTTCTCCTGGGCACCAGCCAATAAGAAGGGGCAGACAGGGGCCGGCTCCATGACTTAGCAGTTAAGTGTGCCCACTCCACTACTGGCGGCCCGGGTTCGGATCCTGGGCGCGCACCGACACACCACTTCTCCGGCCATGCTGAGGTGGCGTCCCACATGCAGCACCTAGAAGGATGTGCAACTATGACATACAGCTATCTACTGGGGCTTTGGGGGAAAAAAAGGAGAAGGATTGGCAATAGATGTTAGCTCAGAGCTGGTCTTCCTCATCAAAAAGAGGAGGATTAGCACGAATGTTAGCTCAGGGCTGATCTTCCTCACCAAAAAAAAAAAAAGAAAAAGAAGAAGGGGCACACATTTGTGGTCGAGGACATTGCTTTTTGGTTCTCAAGTCATAATACATACATAGAAAGTTGGTCAGAGAGTAAAGCTCTTGAATTATTGAATCTGATTCGCTTTTTTGTGAAAGGAATGAGTCCATGAAGACAAGACAATATTTTATCTCCTTTCATATAAGTACTGAAGGATCCTGCTAATGATCAACTAGATCAACTAGTAATTATAGCATAGGTAAAGCACGTACTACAAATTCACTAAAAGAATCTGGTTAGGCCCTAGAGAGGAAGAGAATGGAATTAATTACAAACATCTATTTTAAAATCTTTTATTAACACCTGAAATATACTAATTTGAATACTTTTAATGAGAATACCTCTTTCCATTCATCTTTCTGTGCATCATATGACTCAACAATGTTCAAATAACCATGTCCATCATATCCTCCAACCACATACAGTTTGTCTCCAAGAGGGCATACAGCAACAGCATCTCGAGGAACACTCAGAGGCGCCACAGTTGACCACGAATCAGCTTTTGGATCATACCTTAAGAGGTTTAGGAAGACAATTGAGAGGGGAAGTCCAATAGTGTTAAAATTAAAAATAATAGGCATTAATAAAATGTATACTTATCTAATATAATGAATTAGAAACACCTTATAAATATCAAGTGTAGTTTGACTAATAAATGTTAAGGATAAGTACATGACGAAATTCTCTTCAGCCACCAGAGGTCACTCAAAGCATACTGAAAATGTATTTCCTTTGCAAAATACCATGCATTTCTTTGATCAGTACTCAGATTCTCTATGAGAAAATGTCACAGATCAGCATCTTAACATTATGTGAAAAATGCCCCCTCTCCCATTTAGTATGCTAGTTGGAGGGGTTTTTTTTCTTTCATTCTTTGTTTATCAAAATTATGCATGATATGCCTAATCCTGGTTATAAGAGACCTTACATTTTAAGTAAATCTGAATATAATTGGTTTTTTTGTTTTACAGAATGTAGTACTCTGGTTTTAATACTATTTGTAGTTTAGATGACCATAGTCTTATCCTATCTTTTTCCCCTATGAGACTTCTTATTTATCTTCACAGGAGCCTAGGATTTTTTCCGTTTTTCTGGTGAACTCCTTATCTCCAAATTTGTTCTGTAAGCAAAATGAAAAACAATTCAGTAAGTAATATTAATTAAAATCTTTCCCTGGAATTTGTTCCTAAAATTTGAAGCTTATTTTTTTTAACAACATACATAATACTAAAATCTAAAAGGGGTGAACAATAAAAGAAAACTCACGTAGTTATTCATGGAAATGCCCTCTGGTTTTATATTGGCCTATTTGTAAAACTCGAAAAAAAAGATTTATTTTCCAAAAGAGATTTTCATTTATTGCCTTTTACTAATTTCCATGTATTTCTATTACCCCTCAAACTGTTTTTATCTCTTTAATCATATTCTAAATTATTTGATCCCAGCTTTCTTTTGAACTTGGCCTCAGATCCACTAATATTTTTAATAAATTCTGAAATCAGCAATAATTAAGATAACCTCAATATGCGGTACATATTGTTGAGTGCCATGTAGCATATCACCTTGAATTCTGATGTTATAATAAAACCCAGAATGAGAAAAATCATAGTTGTATGCTTTACTTAAGCTGAATCTTCAACACAATTGCTACTGTTAATTGATGCTGCACTCAGCTAACAAAGTATACCCATATATAAATGGTGAACCAGGGCTCACAGAAGGATTTCCTTACAGATTTGCATGAGAAATCCTTAAAGATTTGCAGAAAACCCAAGTCTTTTCTGCATTTGCGTGATAATGCTCAAAAATCTGGCTAATGTTAATATAATCTGGGTACTGACTGATTTCAAGAGGGGTTTGGCGAATGTTGAATCTTTCTAATAAAAAAAAGGCAATATGGCTACTATCTGTAAAGACAAACAAAAGCAGTTATTAAAGAAAAAGTTAGCCGCTACATCACTTTCAAATTAAAACTGCGTCACAGCTTTCCTTTTTTCTTTATCTTTTGCTTTTCTGGCTCTCCTTACTTTGGATACGAGTGTATATTTTCTAGTGGAAATAAAATGGAGCCTGAAGTAAAGGGAATGAGTCATGGTCTTATTCCTCCACTTAGAGTAATAAGGGATAATTTGCTTGATTTCTTCGCCTCAATTTTCTCATCAACATTATAGAAATAGTAATCTCTGACCCAAGCAACGTACATTTATGTGATGGTTTTAGAAACCTTTAATTTAAATTATGTTTAAATAAGTGGATGAGACTCATAAGGTACTGGGTAGGCCAACAATGTTTAATAGAAGATAGTGTCAGGAACATTGTCTAAAGCATGGAAATGAAGACTGTCTGGTTCTGTAGGATGTGCACTTTTGATTGAATTTCTACTGACAAAGCTATTTTACAACTAGGGAAGTTACATTGTAGAAAACTGAGTTTTCTTGTGATTCTTATACATAATAATACAAATGAATTTTGCCTGACAGAGATAGAATTTCCACCATGTAGAAATGGTGACCCCCAAAGATTACATTTTATTCCCTATAGGATATTATCTCTTTTTGCGTCTATTAACAGTTTTTTCCAGCATTCCTAATTGTCTATATATCTTTTCTTCAAAGACTCTTTTTAACCAGTTTTAACATCTTATGGGTTACCTCATTAATTCATGAAACACATAAAATCTTTGACACGTTAATGTTTCACTTTAGCACTAGCCATTTTCTCAAGGAAAATGCCCATAAGGGGATAATAACAGTAATAACAATAACACTGGTTACAAAAATAATACAAACAAAACCAATACACTAACAACTGACTTCTATTGAGTACTTAATATGTGCCGGGCAATGTGCTACGTGCATTAACATTTATTGTATTGTATCCTATGAAGTTGATACTATAACTACTCCCATTTTTCATATGAGGAAACTGATGTTTAGAGATGTAAAGTAATTGGGTCAAGGTCACATAACTTGTAAATAGTAGACCTGGGATTTGAACTCAGATCTGTCTGACTCCAAATGCAGTGCTTTTAACTAGTATATTGTAAATTTTTTGGTATATGTGAACTGCTCTTTTTTCCCATTTAAAAAATTTTTAAGTGCATGTGAATTTAAAAGAATCAGTATATTTGGAAATTTAATTATGTCAGTAAAGTTAAACACATTTAATTATTAGGCTATACTTATAAATATTTAATTTTATAGTCTGCATTATGAACTTTTCTATATCAAAAAATATGAACTGAGCTTATATTTTTCTAGTTGTATGTGTAAATACCTATTTAAATTGGTATAGACACTTCAAGCCACTGTAAGGCTAATTTTACTGTGAACACTCTACAGTGCTAAAATGCAGCCCGATTCCTCTCTCTTTCAGGTCTCAACATAGAATTTCACAATTTCAGGAGTTAATGAAGTAAAGCCAGGAAAATGCCAGCATAACAATGGGAGAGAACATGGTGATTTATTTAAAATATTTTATGTATTCTAGATATTTTCCTTATGAAATGTATACTTTTTGAACCAAACCTAGTTTTGTAGTGTTATATATTTAGATACAAGGAACCAAGCAAATGCAACACAAGTTATACCACTAAGAATGAACAAAAAGCCTCCAAAACTGCAATAGAAAAAAAGCATAGATCTAGTATATATAAAGAAAATCTGTTACTAATTTGGACTTATTATAAGAAATTGTTATTATAAGAGCTTAGAGTATTATCTTTCTTACTGTCTATATATTTACATGATTTAACTTTCAATTCACAAGAAATTTTTGTGAAGTCAGGTTTGATTTTCATAGTAACAAATCTTCATGACTTTTATTTATTAGATATAATTTTGCACAGTATTGTGTTATTTTGTATAAAATTCTTTTAGAAAACCTTTAGTGTTTCTGTAAAGAACAACGTGAATTCTCCATATCAATATCACTCTTTGACCTCTCCCTCCCATGAATTTATCACTTCAAATAGTTTTAAGTATTAATGGAAACTTAATATAGTAGAATTATTTTTACGTGGACTTTTTTGGACTTTTGACCAAATCAAGTTTTCTGAAATATAATAATTTCCTGATATTGTCTGTTTAGCTTATAGGAAGTGATTTACTCTTGTACATTATCAACAGTCTTATAAAGAGGAGGCTAGGAGGCCGGCCCCATCACTTAGCGGTTAAGTGCTCGTGCTCCGCTACTGGCGTCCCAGATTCAGACCCCGGGTGTGCACCAATGCACCACTTGTCCGGCCATGCTGAGGCAGCGTCCCACATACAGCAACTAGAAGGATGTGCAACTATGACATACAACTATCTACTGGGGCTTTGGGGAGAAAAAGGGGAAAAAAAGGAGGAGGATGGGCAATAGATGTTAGCTCAGGGCCCATCTTCCTCAGCAAAAAGAGGAGGACTGACATGGATGTTAGCTCAGGGCTGATCTTCCTCCCAAAAAAAAAAAGAAAAGAGGCTATAGTTATTCTCAGGTATAGAAAAATAAATGTCTTTAGACATAAGAACAGAATTCAATGTCTAGATACCATTACTTAAAATGAAAACTATACTTATTTTTTTTTAATACAAGTATAGGTTTTTTGAGTGTATGTATATATTCTCTGACAGGTGGGGTTGTACCTAATCTTTTGTGAATTCTGTGTTGTCTATAGTTTTTTGTGGTCTAGGGAACGCATCAGTAAATTATCTAGGCAATTTAAAATTTCAATAGAATCTATCCTTTTCACAACTTCTTATAGTGAATGTTTATCAAATATTGAGCCTATTGTATTCTTCTGGTCTTTCTAAAAGGGAAACATAATTCCCGTTAGTTACAGGAGTACACACACACACATGCACACACGCATGCACACACACACGTAATATAGTGAACTTTTGGTTTTATACCAAAATGGAAAGTCAAATATGATTGGTTTCCAAACTTTTACAAACTCCACTTATATGAAAAATACCCTTTTGCCATTTGTTTGCCATTGAACTAGAGAGGGCTTCAACTTTCACTTCTGTAAGGTGTAGGGATGTACTAGATTTTCAAGGTTCTTTCCATTAGTAATTCTATATCATTTCATTATTGTGCTTCTGGATATAAATAAAGGGAAGAGTGAGTTCAGCTTTATCTGTTAAATATGTAGGCAACTCAAGCTGATTTTCATGTGTTTTTTATGTTGTTTTCAGTGTTGCATCACTGGGGAGTGTTGGTCAGCCAGATGGTAGACTAGGAATCTCTAGTAGCTTATTCTCTCACAGAAACAGTAAATCAAATAGAGACTGGCTAAAATAACTTTGTAGCAGTTCTGGAAATCAGTCAAAGATCCACAGCAACCAAATAAATGCTCACTCAAGAAAAAGCTACATTCAAATCAGTAGGAAATTTTGTGACATTTTTACTTGCCTTGACCTATCCCTCCCCCAGCAAGTCATTGTATGGATTAGAGAAAGCAGTGGCCCAACCCTAGTTCCTTTCCTTGAACCAAAGAGAAAAGAGCAGACCTATTATGCAACAATCTA